GGCATCACCAGGCGCGTGTGCTACTGAACACCTACCTAGCCGTGTGCCATGCACGTTACGATTGTCCAACGATCAAAACATTCACCCGTCTGCTCCCCCCGCTCTCCCGATCAATCTAACCTTTCTACTCGAACACTCGTCCGCACCACTTCTATTACCTCCCCCCCCCGCCTCGCACCGCAGCTGTTTTCTTGTATATGTGTGTTTTTGGCCAGCGCGCGCGTGTGTGTGTGTGTGTGTGTGTGTGTGAGAGAGACGGGAGGGGCGGGGGAGGGCTGGCCACGGGTGCGTCCCCGAGAGAGCGAGACACCGAGAGAGAGAGAGAGAGAGAGAGAGAGAGAGAGAGAGAGAGAGAGAGAGAGAGAGAGAGAGAGAGGGAGGGAGACGCACAGCGATGCTCGCCTGAAGCTTCTCGAGGAACGTGTGCGGCCCTGCAGCAGCAGCGGCGGCGGTCGAGGCGCCGAGGGTGGGCGCACCGGCGGTGCGGGTTGGCGTTTGCGGCTGCGAGCGCGTCGACCCCGAGGCGAGAGGGAAGGGGGGTCAGTGCGTGCGCCGCTCTTGCGGTCCCACCTCGCTCGAGTCGAGTCGAGAAAGAGCTAGCCGACGGACCGTCGACCTCAACCCGTCCTGGAGCCGGTCCCACTCGCGCACCGTGACGGCGTCGAGCCACCTCGGGACGAGCACAAAGAGGTGGTGCTCGACGAACGCCATCGTGGTGCGGAGCGCGACGCTGCGCTCGGTGTAGGCCGCCGCCGAGTGTGGGTCGTGCGAGATGAAGAAGGTGAGCTTGTGCGAGGGGACGAGGTTGGGGATCTGGGACAGGAGGCGCGAGAGGGTGAGGTGGTCTGTGCGGCGTGCGCGTGCGTGCGAGAGTGGGTCGGTCAGGAGGGCGAGGTGAGGGAGGGAGGGAGGCAGGGGGGCGGACGCACAGAAGCCGGCCTGGATCTTCCAGTTGGTGTAGGTCTGCGGTCGAGAGAGAGCGGGTCAGTGCGCGCGCCTCTGAGAGCGAGCGAGGGAGGAAAGAGAGACGCACAAAGTCGGTCTGCTTGCCCGCCCACTTGACCTCGACGACCTCCCACTCGACGACCCTGTCCCCCTCCTTGTCGCCCGCCTTCTTGCCCTTGCCGCCCTCGACCTCGACAAACCGCACCAAGTCGGGCCTCAAGACCCCCCACCTGACGCCCGGTGCCGCCCAACCCCTCTCGCGGTACTCGTGCGTCCAGTCGACACTGTCGACGAGCCCGCACGCGAGGTACACCGGCACGGACTCGGGCGAGGGGCGCGAGGGGCACGAGAGGGCGAGGCGCATGGCGCGGCGCGCGGCCGAGGCCAGAGAGGCAAAGTCGCGGTGGCGGACGAGCTGGTGAGAGAGGGCGAGGTGGCGCTTGAGGGTGCGCTCGAACAGGACGCCGCGCGAGAGGGCGTCGTGTGGGACGAGCGGGGTGGGCGGGACGTCGGCGTGGTCGTCGTCGGGCGTCGGCGTCGGCGTCGAGGGGAGGACCGAGCGGGCACTCGCGGCGGCGGCGTCTACGAGGGGGGCCCGGCTCGAGGCCGGCGGGGCTGCTGACGAGGACAAGGACGAGGCGGGCGAGTGCATGCCGTCCGAATAGGTCTCCTCGTGGCCATGCGGGACGAGTTCGAGGGGTCGGGTGCGCGCGAGGAGGCCGAGGAGCCAGTCTTGGCGGAAGGCGGCGATGCGGTCGTCGCGCGAGTGGGCGGCGTGGGACGAGCTCAGGTCGGACAGGAGGGACGAGAGGGACGAGATGGTGAGCGCGTTGGAGCACTGGCACGCGTGGCGCGAGCGAATGGCGACCAGGCTGCGGGGTCGCGGCACTTGCGGGCTTGCCATGGTCGGGGTGCGCTGTAGAGCGTGGACTAGCTCATGGGCGTTGGGGTGGCTGTGTGGGCGAGCGAGAGGTGGACGCGTCGGTGACGCGATGAGGACGAGTGAGCGAGTGCGAGAGGTTGCCTTCGTCCACGCTCTGTGCAGCTGCTGCGGCTAGGCACCAGTCGCACACACACGCACACCGCGCTCACTCGAGTACACCCGCGCCATCCCACCCCTCCCACGCTCCTCGTCCTCCTCCACCTCGTCCGCCTCATCGCCCCGTTCCGCCAACTCGCATGGCCGACAGCGCACCGGCCACTCCACTCGGCGTACGTCGAGCACCCACAGCTCGCTCCACTCCGACCCCGCGCCACCTCAAGCGCCTCTCGCTCTCGTCGTCCCGGTCGTCGCCCGCGGCAGGGCACCTCGTCGACGCCCACCACCTCCCGACCGCCGACGACCGCACCCCGTCCTCGTCCTCGTCCTCCACCTCGCCGAACTTACTCCGCCGCTCGACCTCGTACCGCACCTCGACCCCCTCGTCATCCTCCTTCGATCCGCCGCCGAACGCGACTACCGGCACGCCCGCTCCCGCTCCTTCTTCTGGCGACAGCCACAGCGCCGCCTCGCCCGCGTCGTCCCTCGGCAGGTCCCACACCCGACGCGGCGCGAGCGTGAGCTACACGGCCTCGGGCGCGGGCTCGGGCGGGCGCGCGTCGCTCGACGGGCTCGCCCTGAGCGGTGTCGGCGGCAGCAGTCCAGCGGCGACGTCGAGGGGCTCGCTCGACGGCGCGAGGGGCTCGGGCGAGGGACCCGGGCTGTCGTCGTCGCGCAGCCGGGGCGCATCCGCCTCGTCGTCGTCGTCCGACCCGACGGCGTCGAGCTTGAGCGCGAGCGCGAGCGAGCCGACGCAGCCGACGCCCCAGCTGCAACAGCAGCAGCCGCAGCCGCAGCAACAGCCGACGCTCGTCGAGCAGAACGCCGACCTCCTGAGCTTTATCGCCAAGAAGGAGCGCAAGTGCCTCGACCTGCGCGAGGGTGCGTCGGCTTGTTTTTCTCTCTCTCTCTACCTCCTTCTCCTCCTCCTTCTCGCGTCTACCCGTCCTCCGAGTCCCCTCACGCTCACACTCTCCCACCCCGCCGTGTGCCCCGCCGCCGCAGAGCTCAAGCGCCACGAGTCGGAGCTCGCGCACCTCAAGCGCAAGTGGGAGTCGATCGTCGCGCGCTCGCTCCAGCAGCAGCACGTCGTCGACGCCCAGTCGTCGCCCGTCCTCAGCCGCGACCGCGACCGCGACCGCGTCACGTCGTCCGCCTCGTTGTCGTCGAGCAAGACGCACGCGCCGCACCCGCACGCCGGCTCGGGCTCGTCGCCCAACACGAGCCCGACGCCGCGCTCGCACCGCGCGCTGCACTCGACGCACTCGCTCGACCTGTCGCTCCTCGGCTCGACGTTCGACGACCCGCCCCTGTCGTCCCTGTCGTCGGGCGTCCCGGGCGCCGAGCACGACGCGCCGCAGCCGCCGCTCGAGATCCCCGAGTCGGTCAAGGCGGCGGGGACTTGGCTCGGCGATGCGCTCGGACGGGTGCTCGAGGCGGCGGTTGGGATGCCGCCGCCGACGAGCGAGGGAGAGGGCGAGGGAGAGGTGCAGGTGGAGGTCAAGGGGCTCGGGATCGTCGAGGAAGAGGACGAGGAGGGCGAGGAGGGCGAGGGCGAGGGCGAGGGAGCGGGCGAGGAGGAGGGGAGGGGAGGGCGCGGGGCGGGCAAGGGCGAGGAGCGTCCGCTCGGCGGGTGGGAGGCGTCGACGGCGGCGGCAGCGGCGGCGCACCCGTCGGACGGCTCCTCGTCCGCCCCTCGAGCGGCAGCCGCAGCAGCTGCCGACCCTACGTCGCCGGCCCTCGCGCGACCACGCTCGCCGCTCCGGACCAGGCCGACGCCCGTGCGCTCGACGTCGCCCAGCACGACGCGGCAGCACCTCTTTACGCCGCCGCACGCCTCGTCCTCGTCCTCTTCCCACTCCCCGGCCTCGCCCTCGCTCTCCCTTTCTGCCCGCACACCACCACCCAGCAGCAGCAGCACCCTGTCGCACTCGCGCTCGCGCTCGACAGCGCTCGACGCCCTCTCGGGCGGGTGGTCGAGCCTCAACCGCAAGTGGACCCAGCTGTCCGAGTCGGACACGGTGCGCAACACGCGCCGCGCGACCCTCGGCCTCGTCGACACGTTCGAGCAGGGCTTGGCGCAGGCCCTCGGCCCGTTGGAGCCCCCGACGCTGTCGCCGAGGTTGGGCGAGGGCGGCGGCGAGGGCGGCATGGGCGGCGAGCAGGGGAGCGCGCACGCCCACGCCCATGCGCACGCGCACGCGCAGCGCGAGGGAGAGCGCCCCTCGTCGTCGTCGTCGACGTCGAGCGCTCCCGCCGCCGCCGCCGCACCACCTCGCACCTCGCCCTCATCGTCGTCGTCGTCGTCGACGACCGCCGCCGCCGCCGCCGCGCGCCTCCCGAGCGCCGTTCCGGGCCAAGGGCTCTCGAGCGTCTTTGCGAGCTTCGGCAGCAGCGGCGGCGGCGGCGGCGGTGGCGGTGGCAGTGCGCGCAGCCCACAGCTCGGCTCGTCGGCGGGCGAGCGCGCGCCGCAGGGCCAGAGCCAGGGGCACGGGCACGGGCAGGGCGCGGCGCCGCCGAGCTGGGACTGGAGCGCGTTCCTGCCCGGGTCGGCGTCGAGCGAGGGGCTCGATGAGCGGGCGGCGCAGGTGCAGCAGGCGCAGGCGCAGGACAAGGGGCAGAGGGGGAAGAGGACGTCGGTTGGGTCGGACGGCCTGAGCGACTGGCCTGGGTGGTGACCGGCCGCGCGCGGTCGTCGCTCGCTCGTCCTCCTGCTCGAGAGGAGCCGGTGTACACGTGTTCCTCCCCTCTCTCTCGTCCTGTCTGTCGTGCCATCTTCCTCGCCCCTTTGTTTTTATCCCCGCGCCGACCTCTCTCTCTCTCGGCGTCTCTGTCTCCCTCACATTGCCGTAAAGGACCCCTTGCACGGCGTTCTCGCATCCCGCAATGTGCCTGCACTACCTTTGTCGCTAGAGGAATTCGCTTGAGAGAGGAGAGAGCGAGCGTGCGCGTCGTCGTCGTCGCCCGCGCGGGAGGGAGGAAGCGAACGACTTGCTCGACCTCGCTTCTCTCGCTCCCTCTTGCTGAGCTCGAGAGGCGCTTCCGACTTCTGAACAGCGCCCAAGAACACGCCCAAGCGCACCCTCGACTCGCCCAGTTCGCCCGTGGTCTCGTGCGGCCGCCTTCAAGCCTCATCAAGTCGGCCGAGCTTCTTCGCGACTCTGTGAGTCCACAGTCTCTCTGGAAGGCAGGCGGGAAGCGCGAGTGTGCGAGTGGGACCTGCACGAGTACTTCGGACGTCTGAACTGAGCTCTCGGTGGCGTTGCGAGGGCTGTCGGTTTCGTGAGCCGGCGGAGCTCGAGCAGGCGGCGGCGGCGGTTGAGGGACTCGTCGAAGCACAGCGCGCTGACCTTGCAGTACCGCAACAGGAGCACTGAGCAGTGATCAGCACGATTCGGCCGTTCGCCCTCGCCGCCGTCGGGCTCGTTCGCCCGCTCCTCTCCTCGCCAGCGGCGCTCGTCCACCGCGCCTTGTCCTCTCGCGCCACCGTCTACAGCGCGCACGCCGAGCCGCGCAAGAGCAGTACGATGACCGAGCTCGCCCCCGCCGGCACGCGCTACTCGGTCAGCGTCCTCACGACGCACACGGTCGACTCGCACCCGTCGCTCCTCGTCGCGTTCGACTCGCACCGGTACCTGTTCAACGCGCCCGAGGGCTTTTCCCGCATCGCGCTCCAGAACAAGGTCGGCCTGCGCAAGGTCGGCCACGTCTTCCTCGGCGACGTCGCCGAGAGCGCCGGCGGCCTGCCCGGGTTCGTCCTCACCTCGGTCGAGGCCGGCAACGACAGGATCAAGGTGTACGGGCCCGAGGGCACCGACCACCTCCTCGCGAGCTGCAGGTTCTTCACTCGCAGGTGAGCTCCCGTCTTTGCCGCCCATCTCCCTCCCGAGGGCGCACCCTGACCCGCCGGTATCCTTCGCAGGGACAAGCTCTCGCTCCAGGTCGCGCCGCCTTCGCCTCGCGCCGCCGAGTCGACCCCTTCCCTCCCTACGCCTCTCCATGCCGACCCGAACCTCGTCGTCTACGCCTTCCCGCTCTCGCCGGCGACCGCTGCGCCCACCTCGCCGCCAGCGCCTGCACCATCAGCGAGCGGCGCGCCGGCCGACGCGCCAGATGTCGTCATGACGCCCTCGGACGCCGGCAGCAGTACCCTCAAGCGCCGCCGCTCCTCGAGCTCGTCCACCTCGCCGCCGCCTCGGCCCAAGTCGCCGCCGCCGGGCTCGACCCCGTTCGACCCGTCGTCCGCCTCGTTCGTCCCCTCGCGCCTGCGCGGCGACGACGCCGCCCGGTGGCGCCACCTCGTCCTGCGCGACATGTTCCGCGGCACGGCGTTCGAGCCTGCGCCCGTGCCGCCGCAGGCCCCCTCGTCGCCCTCGGGCCGCCGCATCCCGACGCCGGCGTACCTCGCGCAGGCGCTCCCGCCGCTCGACCTGCCCAGCGGCGGCGGCGGCGAGCCCGACGCCGTCAGCTACCTCGTCGTCGGCCCGAGGCTGCGCGGCAGGTTCCTGCCCGACCGGGCGCGCGCGCTCGGCGTCAAGCCGGGCAAGGCGTTCAGCCGGCTCATCGCGGGCGGGCGCGTGTGGGTCGCCGACAAGCCGGCTGTCGTGCCCGAGGGGCAGCAGGGCGCGGGAGGAGACGGGGTGGCGGGAGCGCAGGGCGAGAAGAAGAAGGAGTCGAAGAAGGAGCGGCAGGAGCGCATGAAGCGCGAGAAGGCGGCGGAGCTCGCGGCCGAGGAGGCGGACGAGGGGGTCGGCGAGGGACGGTGGGTCGAGGCGGTCGAGTGCATGGAGCCTGGGCAGGACGGCACGGTGCGTCGTCCGCTCGCACTCGCCTGGAGCCCTCGCGCCGGCTCGCGGAACTGACTTTTGGACCCCCTCTCGCAGGCCTTCCTCGTCCTCAACCTTCCCTCGACGGCGCACCTCGCCAACCTCGCCTCGACCATCGTGCCCTCGATGCTCCAACCCGAGTCGCTCGGCCAGCAGATCGCCTTCCGAGGCGTCTTCCTCTTCCTCGGCCCGGGCGTCCTCACCTCGGCCATCCTGTCGCACTACCTCGACAACTTGCGCGCCGCCTTCCCCGACGTCGCCGTCCACGTCTCGGCGTCCGACTTCGTCGCCCAGGGCAAGAACGAGGTCACGTACGGCCCGGCGTCGCTCCTCAACCTCCGGCTGCGCCAACTCGACGAGCGCATGTTCCAGCTCCCTCGATACTCGTTCCTCCCGCCCGACGCACCTTCCCTTCCCTCTCTGCCCAACGGCGTCTCGCTCCTGAACCCGACGTCCCACTTCTCGTCGACGCTCGCACCCCTTCCTCCCGCCAAGTCGCCGTTCGGCTCGACCGGGCGCACGTTCGACTTTCTCGTGCCCTCGCCCGAGGCCGACGTCGAGGCGGCGCGGCTCAAGGGCCCCGAGAAGCCCGACGAGACGCAGCGGCGCGCCGCCGCTGCCTGGGCCGAATACCTCGACAAGGCGCGAGCGGCCAAGGCCGTTGTCGCCGCCGAGACGACCGAGCGCGCGAGCCGTCCCGTCGACGCTGCCGTACCTGCCACGGAGGGCGAGCTCGGCGTCACGCCGCTCGGGACCGGCAGCGCCGTGCCGAGCAAGTACCGCAACGTGAGCGGGACGCTGCTGCACCTCCCGGGGGCGAGCTCGTCGAGCCCGGCCGAGCGCACGCAGTACATCCTGCTCGACGCCGGCGAGGGCACGTGGGGCCAGATCGCGAGACGGTTCGGCGAGGGCGACGCCGCGGCGCGCGAGGACGGCGCCGAGGACGTCCTGCGCGGGCTCAAGATGGTCTTTCTCAGCCACCTCCACCAAGACCACCACGCCGGCGTCTCGACCATCCTGCGTCACCGTGCCCAGGTGCGTCCCCTCGAGAACGCCGTCTTTTCTCGTCGTCGAGCGTGCCCCTGAGCTTTCCTCGCGACGAAACAGCTCAACCCGCCGCCGACCGACCCGCTCACGATTGTCGCGCCGCCAAACGCCCGTGTCTACCTTTTCGAGCAACAGCAACTCGTCGACCTCGGGCTCAACTACCGCGGCGCCGACAAAGGGCGCGAGGTGCGCTTTGTCGACAACTTCCTCGTCGAGCCGGGCAAGGCGCCGTCGGCGGGCAGCAAGATGTGCGTCTCTCTCCTTCCCTTCTCTCCTTCGGCGTCTCTCCTCTTTGCCCTCGGGCGCGTCACTGATGTGCCTCGTCGCCATGCAGGGACGTCGCGCTCGCCGACCTCAAGACGGTCGCGGGCTTGACCGAGGTGACGGCCGTGCCGGTCCTGCATCGCTGTCGCGCATGGGGCGCCGTCATCACGCATTCGTCCGGGTGGCGCGTCGTGTGCGTCCCGTCTCCCTCCCTCTTTCTTCCCGTCGTCGCGCTCGAGGGCGTCGAGAACTGACGAGCGGTCCCTTTCTCGCAAACAGCTTCTCGGGCGACACGATGCCGTGCGAGGCGCTCGTCACGGCGGGCCAGGGCGCGTCGCTCCTCGTGCACGAGGCGACGATCGAGGACGACATGCCCGAGGTGGCGCAGGCAAAGGGCCACAGCACGTTCGGCCAGGCCATCGACGTCGCGACTCGGTGCGTCCACGACGTTCTCTTTCTCGCTCTCCTCGGGCGCTCGTCACTGACTCATCCTCCTGTATGTCTACAGCATGCGCGCTCGTCACCTCCTCCTCACGCACTTCTCGGCGCGGTACCCCAAGCTCCCTCCCCTCTCGACCGCCTCGGCGAGCAGCGACCTGCCCCGGCCCGTCGTCGCGACCGCGTTCGACCTCATGACGCTCCGCCTCGACGAGTTCTGGAAGGTCGAGCGGTACCGCGACGCGATGGACGCGCTCCTGAGCTGGGACGAGGCCGACGACCGGGACGACGCGGACGAGCTGAGCGGCAAGGAGGCGCGGCTCGGGGGCAGCGCCGAGGGCGAGCCGATGAGGGCAGGTCAGGGCGGCAAGAAGCAGGGTGGCAGGAAGCAGGGCAAGAAGGAGCAGCAGGGGCTCGTAGAAGCGTCGGCGCAAGCATGAGCGGCGCCGCCGAAGAGGGCGCGCGCTCGTTCCCCTCTTTGCGCCTGTCACCTCGAGCGCCGTCTCGTCGTCTAAGCTCCGCGTCACTGTGCTGTGCGGCGTCTCGTGAGCTGCTGTTCGCTCCTCGTGCGAGCCCGGACCCTCCGTCGAGTTTCCCCTTCGCACACCTCGCGGAGGTTGCGCTCTGCCGGACCTTCCGCCTTTCTCCTGCCGGCGCTGGATGCTGGACGCCGCCACGTACGATGATGCTGGCAGCTGGCGGGTCGGCCGAAGCGGCGTACCTCGCCCGAGAGCTATTCTCGAGCCAGTTTGACGCAAACTCGGCCTTCGAGTGGCGCCTCCCCTTTGGCTCGCTCGTCGTCCCCGCACACCGGAATTTCCGACGGCGCGACCCACAGAACCGGCTCGCTCGCTGCCATCTCCTTCCTTGCTTTCGACACCTGCCGCACTACCACACACACCAACACCGCTCTCCCCGCAACCCCCGCCATGCACTTCTCATCGCACCTCGCTGTCCTCGCCGCTTTGGCCTCGAGCGTTTTCGCTGCCGCCCTTCCCACCGAGCTGGTACGCACACGGCTGCATTCGAGCGTCTCGAGGTGTACGCGTAGCTCACTTTGGACGTCCTGTGCAGTCTCCTCGCTCCAACACCAACACCGAGGACGTGATCGACGACGCCGACCCTCGCCTCATCTACACCGGCGACTGGACCCACCTCAAGAACCAGGGCAACTCTGTCGGTAAGTCGCACTTTCTCACGCTCTCGAGGGAGAGGCGTCGACGCTGTCGCAAGCAGGACAAGGCGCGTCATCGACGCCGTGTCGGCGAGCGCACGCGTCCTCGGCCTCGCGTCAAAGGCATCCGCTCTCGCGCCCGCAGGTCTCTCACTGACCTCCCGACGTGCTCGCAGCCAACGCCGGCACCCTCTCTTTCAGCAAGACGTCCCAGGCCTCCGTGTCCATCCCGTATGGTACCAACCACACGGGCTTCTACATGTTCATGGGCACGAAGGCGGACCGCGGTCAATTCTCCATCTTCCTCGACGACCTGTGGTACAGCGCGTCGGCCGAGGGGTCCTGCACGTCCAACTGCGACGCCGCGGGCAACGGGATGATGATCAACTTCCCCCGACTTCTTGCTAAGAGCGACCAATCGCGTCTCATAATCCAGAATGACTCGCCGGGATACCTCGCGTTCGACTCGATCTCGCTGCACAAGAAGCTGTAGCGTTCTCCTTTTCGTTAGCGATCCGTACAGACACTTCACGTGCAAAGTCGACCTTCCCAAGTTGCCTCTCTTCCTCGACGATTTGCTCGTTCGGCGGATCGCGAAAGCCGAGAGTCGCTGTCCACCTGCCAAAGAGAGCTTCAGCGACTACCGAATTGCACCGAGAGCACCCGTTCGAGCGTTCAAACGAGGAGAGCCTCCAAGGGCCGCACGGACCGCCTCATCCGTCTGCACCGCCCGCCCGCCCTCACGGCTCGGCTCTTCCGACGACCGCGGCTGCATGCTCGCTATTTGCAGGCCTGCGCGCACGTCACGTCGCCTCGATCGCGGGGCGGTCGGAGATTCCGTCGGTCGAGAGCCCGCTCCCTTCTCCTCGGCCCTGCCGCGCTCTCCACAACGACGTGAGCCCGGCCGTCCGCTCGGCCGCTCGGCGCTCACGAGTGTCCAGGCTCGCTCTCGCTGCCGCCTCTCTGCTTCGCTTCCCACACTGGCCTCGACCTCTCCTGCTCGACCTCGTCCTCTCGCCGCCATGAAGCTCTCGCTCGTCGCTGCTGTCGCCGCGCTCTCGTCGCTCGCCTCGGCCGTCCCCATGTACGCCACGAGCGTCGTCGTGGACGACGCATCCCCCCAAGTCGTCTTCTCGGGCCAGTGGACCCACCTCAAGAACCAGGGCAGCGGCGTCAGTGCGTCCCGACCTCTCGCTCTCGCGCGCTCCTCGACGACGCACAGAACTGACTCTGCCTCTCTGCGCAACAGACGCGGGCACCCTCAGCTACAGCAACGACCCCAACGCCCGCCTGACGATCCCGTACGGCGCGAAAGGCTACTACGGCTTCAAGTTTGCGACTGGCGCCAAGGTCGACCGCAGCACCTTTGGCATCTCAGTCGGCCCGACGTTCACGATCCACGGCAACGCCAAGGGCACGTGCAAGACGAATTGCGCCGAGAACAACGTCGTCCTCGACGTGCCTCGGTACGCTCCCTCTCCCTTTGCCCCTGGCCCTGCGCTTCGTCCACAGACTGACACCTCTCTCGGCACACAGCCTGACGGTCGACGACGGCAGCTCGCTCGAGTTCTTCAACGCCGACCCGAGCGGGGCCTCCTTCATCGCGTTCGACGCAATCACGCTCTACACCTCGCCCTAGATCTGCGGCGCGCCGCCCATGATCTCTTCCCCAACAGACACTCCCCAGTGCAACAAAGAGTCAGTTCGTGCCCGCAGGAGCAGCGCAAGAGAGAGACCGAGAGCGAGAGAGGCCTCGAAACGGGCGAGATTGGCTTCCAAAGGGACTGGCGCCGACTGCGACTGCGAGCGGTTCTCTCTCCTCGCGGCTCGACGAGAGCGACGACACGGATGTAAGCAGAGTTGCAGACGATCTAGGTACAACACAGAGCGCGCACAGCACGACGAGAGACACGCAAGCTAAGCCCTCCTCTTCCTCCTCGACGATGCCCCTCGTCCGACGACGTCTACTCGAGCCCGATGCCGAGCCCGACCATCGTCGCCGCCGTCTCGAGCTGCTGCCCCTGCGCCCCGCTCTCCTGCTGCGCGCCCTCGGCCGCCTCGTCCTCCTGAGCCGGGCGGACAGGCTCGAGCGCCGCCGGCGGGCTGCCGCGAATCTCGGCAGCGACGACGCCCTCGAGGGGCACGAACGACGTCGGCCCGATGCCCGGGTACTCGCCGCCGTTGAAGAGGCCCGAGGGCGACTCGGGCGTCGGGTACGCCGCCGACGAGGCCGCGGGCAGAGTGACCTGGCCGACGAAGCCGTCGGGTGCCGCTCGGCGCCACTTGTCGACACACGAGGTCCGAGCCGCGCCGACGTAGGCGGGAGGACCGTCGACGTAGGGCGGCGGCGACGCAGGCCGCTGCGCGAACAGGTAAGCCGGGTGCGGCAAGTGCCCCTGCGGCGTCGCCGACACCGACTGCTGCGCCTGCGACGGTTGGACCGAGGGCGGCCCGACGTGCGCCTGGTCGGGCTCGGTGCCGTGGATTGACGACGTGCGCGCGACGAGCTGGGCAAAGAACTGGTCGGGCTCGGCTGCATGACGCGGGATCGTCCACGACGGCACGCGCTCGGCCGGCTGCTCGCGGCACGACGACGACGCCGGCGGTGGAGGAGGGTGCGGGTGCATGCTCGAGCGCGTGCCGAACTGGAAGCCCTTGTGCGGCGCCTGCGAGTCGGGCGAGGGCGGACGAGGGTGGCCGGGCTCGTGAAGAGGGTCCGAGCGGGCTGGCTCGCCGCCGCCCTGCGACGACCGCGGCGCTGTCGAGCCCGCCATCGAGTACGGCGGATGCGTCGGGTCGTCGAGAGGCGCCCTCGCCTCGATCGTCGGCGCAGAGCCAGGGTCCGGCGGTGGCGGCGAGTCGCGGGCGAGCTGGTACCGCTGGCCGTTGACGATGACGAACGCGGGCGGCGCCTCGGGCTGCGGCACTGGCGGTGTCGCGACGATGGCGTTGCGGCGCTGGTGCAGCCTCGAGGCGCCGGCTGGAGCTGGTGGGAGCGAGAGCCTGCTGCCGCCGAGCTGAGGACGGGTCGGGTCGTACTCCTCGACGGGCTCGACGCGCTGCTGCTCCGGCTCGACGACGACGCGCTGCGGGCGCTCGTGGACGACGTGCGGCTGCTCCTTGACGGGGCGCGAGGGCTCGAGGCGATGGCGAGGCGGCTCGCGGCGCAGGAAGTGCGGCTCGTTCGTGCGCAGTCGGCCGACTGGACGAGCCTTTGGCGTCGCACGCTGCGCCGAGACGAAGCGCTGCTCGCCCGACTGCGACTCCTCGACGTAGCGCGGTCGAGGGCGCCGCTGCTGGACCTGCTGCTCGGGCGAAGGCCGAGGATGCGGGCGCTGCTCGGGCGGCGGCGGCGCCGGCCGCTGCTGCTGCTGCGGCGCGGGCCGCTCCGACTGCCCGACCTGGCGCGCCGCAAAACGCACGGGTAGGTACGAGCTGTGCGCCTGCGCGGGCGCCGGCGCCGGTGCGTCGAGGTCGAACCTGCTCGCCGGCGGGCCCGAGCCGTTCTCGAGGCGCGCGGCGTGCGTCACGCTGCGCGACCGCCTCGGTGCGCCCCCGGTCGTCGACAGGCGCCACTGCTCGTCAATGAGGTAGCTCGCCGCGTCGTGCGACGACGAGTCGGCCACGGCGAAGGGGTCGGCGGGAGGAGCCAGAGGAGGGAAGGCCGCGAGGTCGAGGACGGGCTGCAGGACGAGGCTCGACGTGCTCGAGCGGCGATACAGGCGCGGCGAGGTCGGCTCGAACGGCATGCCGTACTGCTCGTCGAACGAGTTGGCGAACGTCGGCTCGCCGCCGAGGTCACTTAGGAAGGTCGACGAGGCCTGCTCGAGGAAGGACGTGCTCGGCTCGGCGAACGCGTCGCCGTGTGGGACGTGCATCGTCGTCCAGTCGGTCGACGTTGGCCGACTGAGCGCCGCGTGCTCGGGCGAGGTGGCGGCCGTCCACGTGTCGGACCGTGGCGGGAGGCCGTGCGAGGTGATGCTTGACGACGACGAGCTGCAGTACGAGGCACCGAGTCAGTGACAGGCCAGGAAGAGAGAGTGAGAGAGTCGAGGACGCACGCTCCACGAAGCGGGATGGGCGGCGCGACGGCCTTGCCGCCTTTGACCCACTTAGTCTTGCCCTTGCCGCTCGCCGCCGGCGCCGCCCTCGCCTGCTGCTCCCCGCCCAGCGCGACCGCCCTCCCCTTGCCCTTGTCCTTGCCCGTCCCGCTCGGCGGACCCATCTCGCCCGCTGCGCCAACGACCTGCGCGAGCGCGAGCGCGACCGTCGCCTCGCCGACACCCTCGACGCCGCCGCCGCCGCCGGTGCCGGTGCCCAGGCTGATGGACGCCCGCATGCGCTCCTCGTACCGCTGCATGTGCGCCGCCGGCTCGAGCGCGCCGAGAACCTCGAGGACGGCGCGGTCCTCGTGCAGCGGGCGCAGCGACGGGTGCGGCTCGCTTGGGTCGAGCGCACCGACGGCGGCACCCGCACCGGCGAGGCCGTGCTGGTGGTGGCGCATGAGCTCGATGTGCGGGGCCCAGATGTCGAACGTGGCCATCTGGGCGTACGACAGGGCGTCGACCCAGCACTTGACGAGCTCGCGCGTGAGGCGGTTGCCCTCGTCGGCCGTGAGGTTGACGTCGAGGCAGTCGGCGACGGGGAGCGGGTACGCCGCCGGTTGAGGAAAGGTCGAGAGGAGGATCGAGCCGAGCGGGGTCGAGGTGCAGCGCGCGAGGAAGAGGGCGAGTTTGGCGCCCGTGAGGGGAAAGACGGGGATCTGGACCGTCTTGTCGGCGCACCACGCGCTGAAGCGGCTGCGGACGGTACGCAGAGCGTCAGGTCGTCATCGAGAGAGAGAGAGAGAGGACGAGAAGAGGGACGAGGACGCACTTCATGGCGAGGCAAAGCGCCGTCTGCTGCGTGCCCGTTTCGAGCGCCTCGATGGCCGACTCGACCGCGTTCTCCGAGCGTCGCTGCAGCATGACGTCTGCGTGCGCAAGGAGGGCTCATGTCAGGGCCTGGGTACCGAGATCGAGAGGAGAGGGCTCGGGACGCACCGCTCGTCGCCTCGACTCGAGCCTGGTCGAGGACAAAGCCGCGGCGGTCGTACAGCTCGACGACGGTCGGCATGGCGAGCGGACGAAGGTCGGTCGACGTGCGTCTTGCGGCAGTCGGCGCGTCTGTACGAGCGAGAGGGAAGTCAGTGAGGCGTTCGCGCGCGAGGGAGAGGACGAGGAGGTGGACGGGCGCTCGCTCGAGGCGGTCGCGAGCGAGGGAGAGGACGAGAGGTGGACGTACCGACTTGAGCTGCGGTCGAGCGCCTTCTCTGCACGCTCGTGGCCAGAGCCCTCGCCTCCTCCTCCTCCGCCTTCTCGGCCGCCCTGCGCGCGCGCTCCCTCGGGCCCGGCTTGTGCGCCCGAGCCCGGGCAGCGACGGGCACCTCAACGACGGGCGACAGCGACGCGCGGCGCCTGCTCGCCGCCCGTGCTGGCCGCGCCGCCGACGAGGTGGACGACGAGGCGGACGACTTGCGCGAGTCGGACGTGGTGCTCTTGCGACGAGGGCGCGAGGTGCGGTTCGGGTGCACAGGGTCGAAGGTGTCGTCGTCGTCTTGCTCGTCGTCGTCTGCATAGTCGGCGGCGGCGCCGTCGATGCTGCGCTCGTCGTCGTCGGCGGCGGCGGTGAACAGGCTCGACGCGCGAGGGCTGCTCGAGGGCGGGTGCGGCTCGGGCTCGTCGTCGCTGAGCGACGTGAGCGACGACAGGTCGTCGTCGTCGTCGTGGACCTCCTGCTCGGCCGCCGCGACAGCCGCCGCGACGAGCCCGGGCATCGACAGCGACTCGCTCGTCGGCGGCGGGACGTGCTCGGGCGCCGGATCGACGTCGACGGGCGACGCCGTGCCCTGCTTGGCCCGACCCTTGGTCGCGGCCCTCCTGGCCCCCGCCACCGCCACCGCCGCCGCCGTCGTCGTCTTCTTCTTCTTCTTCTGGCCCGCTCCCTTGCCCTTGCCCTTGCCCTTGCCCGCCGCCTTGCCCGGCCCCTTCTTGCCCCCCTTCTCCTTCTTGTGTAGCGCCCCTCGACCGTCCCTCTCCCGCCCGCCCTCGTCGTCGCCATCGAGCCCCGCCCCCGAGCGCGTCCGCTTGCGCAGCGCGTACGCGGCGCCGCCCTCCGAGCTCGCGTCGAGGCCGGCGGCAGCGGCGGCCGAGCGCGTGCTCGCCGGGTCGGAGGGAGACGGGGCGGCGGCGGTCGAGGAGCGGCGCGAGGCGCGGTGGATGGCCATGGCGGCGAGAGGAAGGGGAGGAGGGAGGAGGGAGGGAGGAGGAGGGTTCGGGCCCGGCGGGCGCAGGCGCGGGTGGCAGGCGTGCTCGAGGGTGGTGCTGGAGCCGCTGTGGGTAGTACTGGCGAGGTGCGCGGCGCTGCGATGAGGGCGAGGTCGAGCGGGGGCGGGTTCACCGAGGCGGCGGCGGGCGGACGCGAGGCTGCAAGGGAGCGGTCGTCGGCGGGGGCTGGCTGGCGGTGGGTCGACAGAAGGGGGTGCTACGCAGCGCTGTACAGAGGGCGTGCGCGCATGTGCAGAGCTGAGGCTAGCGTCGGGGAATCCGCCCCTCGTCGGGGGAGCGAGCAACGCACGCGCCGCGCCCGCGCCCAACACCGAGCGAGACGAGGCGGCGCGTGCTCTGAGGGCAAGCTCCTGACGAGGTCAAGCTCGCTCGTTGTGCCCGGACTGCAAGCGCAGCGACTGCTCCTGCACGGCCTGAGAGGCTCAGCTCTCGGCGCCATCGCGCGAGCGGCGAGAGAGAGCGCGCACCGAGTCGGCGTGGGCGCGAGCGCGAGGACCGCTCCTCTGAGCGACACGACAGCTCGTGCGCCACCACTCGAGAGGCCATCGTCGTCGCCGACCAGCTCGTTCGAGAGCGACCCAAACCTCATCAGCGTCTCGTCGCGGCGGCCGACCCTTGGACCTCCGCGTCGCGTCGCCCCTTCCTGTTGATCCTCTCGCTCTCGCTCAACACGCCTCTCTCTCGACAAGCTGGCGCACGACGAGGAGAAAGGAGAAAAAGGGGACGCTGCGGTTGCACCGCGCGAACCAGAGGATCGAAAGAGAGAGAGAGAGAGGGAACGAGGGCAGGCAGCAAGGAGAGAGGGAAATGAGGGGCGACCAGGCCCTGAGAAAGAAGGAGGGGGGCGACAAGCGCATGGTGAGCGTAAACGAGGCGAGGGGAGGTGCATGACGAAGAGGGGGGTAACTGTGCAGGGTGGGTTCCGAAATGCGAAGGAGAGGAGAGGGCGGGTTTACGCCGACGTGATGCGCCAGTGCTGCGACGAGTCGTTCTCGTTCCACTCGGCGAGCTTGAGCGACGAGTAGCCGCCGAACGTCGAGATGTGGTCGGGCGTCAGGGCGCGCGTCGCCATGTCTGCGAGCGCGAGTGGGCGAGAGAGGGAGAGGGTCAGTGACGGCGGCAGACAGAGAGGGGGGGCAGAAGAGGAGGACGGGGCGACGGACCGGTAAGGTGGTCGACGGCGATGATGCAGTAGGTCGAGTCGTCGCGCTTCTCGCGGCGGGCGACAGCGGTGTCGACGGCGGCGCCGTGCGCGACGCGCGAGCGGCGCGCCATGCGGCGCTTCTGGCTCGCCCAGTACGCCTCGAGCTCGTCCTTGCACTCGACGTGGCCCGCCTCGGTCACGTAGCGGTAGTGGCGCGCGAGCCTGTGTGCGCGAGCGAGACGGGTCAGTGACTCGGCCCCGAGGAAGGGAAGGGGGGAAAGAGGGAGAGAGGTCGACGCACCACTTGCCGTCGTGGCGGCAGACCCAGGTGCTGCGGTCGTGCTTGTCGACCGACTTGCTCGGAGCCGACGCGCTCGAGGTCGTGGTCGGCGCCGAGTCGTCCTCGGACGACGACGACGACGACGAGGCGGAAAAGTCGGCGTGGGCGGCGAGCTTGGAGCCCGACGACGACGAGGCGGCGTTGAACTGGACCGAGTTGTCCGTGTCGGCAACGTCGTCCGACGACGACGAGTCGTCCTCCGACGACGACGACGACGAGCCGCAGGGGACGAGCTTCCAGAACTGCTTTGCGACCTCGAGCGAGTCGCTGCCGTCGCTCGCGCCGCCGACCTTGCACGCGTACGACACGGCGGCGCCGTCGACGCCGAGGTCGGCGTCCCACTGGGCCGAGACGCACTTGCTCATGCCCGTGATGTAGGTGCCCGTCCACGTGTCCCACTTGACGCCCGACTGGCCGTACGCCGAGTCGTGCCCGAGCGTGACCGTGTTGGGCGACGACGACGTGACGAGGTTGGTCGTGTCGGCCGGGCTGCGGGTGCGTGGGTGCGCGCGCAAGAGGTCAGTGGCGGCGCGCGACGACAAGGTGCGCTCGAGGGGGACGCACCGGTCGAAGTGAAGGTAGTCGCCGGTCGCGACGTTCTGGATCTTGTACTCGCCCTCGTAGTGCGTAGCAGCGAGGCTCTGCGGGCGTACACGAGGGGAGAGTTAGCAACGAGTCGCGTCGCCCAAGTTGTTGTTCCGCCTCGACCACGCGCCGCCGCCCTCGCGCCTCGCACGGGTGCCGCGCACACACGGGTACCGTGCAAAACAGCTGCACGCTGGGCCATATGCTGAGCAGGCGAGAGAACGGACGCGCCCCCGACCTCGCGCGCACGCGCCCGAAGGGGTGCTCTTGGCCGAAAGGCGGGGGGTTGTTGTCCTCCTCGGTCTGCGAGAGAGAGAGAAAGGGGGGACGCACAGTGAGCTTGGAGAAGAGCTGGAGATTGTCGACGATGCCAGCGGCGTTGACGGCAGTGCTGGCGAGGCCCAGGAGGGCGAGCGAGGTCGTGGTGGTGAGCATTGTGGTCGGAAAGGGGGTTCGGTGTTGAAGGAAAGGGCGAGAGAGAGGGAGGGCGAGTGGGAAAGCGGGTTGAGCGAGTGTAGGTGGGTCGGGACTTGAACTTGAGGAAGGCGCTGCGCTACTTGACCTGCAGGTAGAGAGAGCGCGAGTGGGCGAGAATGGACGAGAGGAGAGGAGAGAGGAGGGGGCGGCTGCGGCGGCGGCGCCGGCGCGTGCCTCGTCGGCGTCGGTCAATCAACAGAGCTCGTCCGCGCTTCCCTCTCGAGCCAAATGCGCTCTCTAGACGGCCTGCTTGGACAAACGCGCCCTCTGTAGCCCTCTCGCAACGACAGCCGACCGTCGGCGTGGAGCGGACGTCGCCTTGGAAAACGCTGAGACAGGGCTGTCTACAGCTCGAATTCGAGCTCGTTGCCAAGCCTGCAAGCACCGACTCTTACTGCGTGAGAGAGAGAGCGTCGCACCAAGTCGCAGAGCGTGAGGCGAAATGAGCACGCGGCAGGACGCGTCTCCCTTGTCCTCGACCCCGCCCTCGCCTCTCCCCCCCTTGTCCTCCACCGCGCACCCAAACAAACACGGCTCGAGCAGGTCCTCGACCCCCGAGCGCGCACCGCTTTGCACCCACCTCGCCTCGTCCCACCCAGTCGCTCCCTCCCTCCCCCTCCCGCCGACCTCGTCACACTCGCCGACCCGCCATCTCTCCACCTCGAGCACCCCTCGCCATGTCCTGGTACGACGCGCCCGCACCGTCGAGCAGCAGCACCCTCGGCGGCTACCGCCGGCCCTCGTCCTCGGTCTCGTCGCTCGCCGCGCCTCAAGCCATGAAGCGCACCGCCTCGATGTGCTCGCTGCCCTCGCCGCCCGCCGACTACGGCTACGACGGCATGGACGTCGACGAGGGCCTGCGGTGCGCACCGCGAGTGCCCCACTTTGGCGCAGGCGCAGGCGCAGGTGCGGCGCTCGACTCGGACGAGGTCGACCAGCTCGCGTCGTCCGACGACGACGACGAGGTCGCGCCGAGCGTCCACCACGGACGCACCAAGGTGCGCGCCTCGCGGCCGTGCATGCTCGGCTCGCCTGCGGTCCTCCTCGGCGGCGGTGCCGGCGCAGGCCTCGCGTCGCGCAAGCAGCTCCTCAACCCGTTCCTCCCTCCCGCCGCCTCGACCTCGACCTCGACCTCGACCTCGAGCCACCCTCCCGCCGCACCAGCCCACGGCGCGCCGCCCCTCTCGCCCTCGGCAAGCCCGGTCCGTCCACTGCGCCGCCAGCCTCAGCACCCGTCGCCGTCGCGCCGACGAGCGCACCACCGCCCCGACCCGGACCGCATCCGGCTCACGACGCCGCCGCCGCGACCGAGCGCCGCAGAGCTCGAGCTCGAGCGGCGGCGCGCAGAGCGCGACGAGCGCCTGAGGGCCATGGGCTGGGAGGACCCGGAGAACCCGTTTGTCGAGCGCGGCGACGAGATGGCGAGGCGGCTGAGGGACGCGAAGCCGGTCGAGCGGCCAGAGACGATCACCTACGTCAAGTGCGTCCCCTTGCTCTCCCTCTCTCTCTTTCTTTCCGCCAGCACTGACCAACTCGCTCTCTCGCAGGCGAGGCCAGCGCATCCGGACATCGGTCCCGTTCACGGCCGTCCTCACGTCGTCGTCGCCCTCGGACGACCCCTTCACCTTTACCGCGCCCAAGCTCCTCTTCCCACCGGCGCAGCCCCCCTCGCCCACCCTGCCCTCGACCCCGCCCAAACAGAGCAAGTTCCTCGAGGCCCTGCGCGCGGCCGGGGGAGCAGGACCGGCGGCGGGCAAGAACAAGGACGACCACCACGACGGCGGCGCCGCCGCAGCAGCAGCAGCAGCGCGAGAGCTCCCGCCGACGCCGGCGACGCTCAAGCGCAAGGCGCACGCTCCGGGCGCCGCCGCCGCCGCTGCAGCAGCGGGCGAGCACGGCGGCGGGGTGCAGCACAAGCGCGCGCGCATGTTTGGTGGCGGCCCAGACGGCGCCGAGCACCGGGGCCTGCGGTGACCTGCACACGCGCTCTCCCCCTCTCTCTCCCTCTCCCTCTCCTTCCTTTCTACGCTCCTTCCCCTTCCTGTGTAGCTTCTCCCCGCCACCTTTCGTGCCCTCCCTTATGGCCTTGTCTAGAACCCCCCCTCGCCCTCGCCTCCCTCGCCTTGACTTATTCCCTCCTCCCTGTTGAACGCCCTTGGAGACGAAACTATGACGCGCATTGCCCTCTCACTCTCACTCTCGGTCGTGCGCTCTCGAGAGAGAGACGAAGCGAGAAGCCTCGGAAAGGGTCTCGTCGTTGCCAGGTCGCGCGCTCGCTCGCTCGCTCGCTCTGCTACCGCCCCGACGCCCACCCACCCTGCCCCTCCTTCCCCCGCCGCACCGTGCGCCGCGGCGTGCGGCCCAACTCGACGAGCAGCTCGGCGCGCTCGGGCTGCATCTTGCCGCCGCCGCCGTCGTCGTCGAGCAGTAGGAGCCCGCTCGCACCTCTTCCTCCTCCTCCTCCTCCTCCTCCTCCTCGGGTCCTCCTCTCACCTGCGTCTCGCCCTCCCCTCCCAGCGTCACCCTCCCCGTCCTCCCACCCTGCCCCCTCGCCCTCGCCCTCGCCCTCACCCTCGGCCTCACCCTCGCCCTCGCCCTCGCCCTCCGCCCGCGCCCTGACCGGCGCAGCATGGCACGTCGACGGGCCACAGGTCGAGGATGAGGGTCGACAGGTAGCGGCGAGGGTGA